GGGGGGGGGGGGGGGGGGGTGAAGTTGGGCCTCTCCATGTTTCGCCACGGGGCCGCCTCGTGTAAGAATCGCTCTCACTGGTGTGGAGAAACACGCCTCCTCGTTATTTCAAGGGGGTTATTCGACGGTAGCTTTCCATTGTCGGGTTCTCAACGCCGGCTTGTGCTCTTTAGTTGTTGTGCACGGATCCCAGAAGCGTAGAGAGCAAGGGCTGGGGGCGGCGGGTTTCCTTAGGGTACGTGAGTGAATCGATGCCATGGCATTGTGACGTCTCGTGCAGTTGTAGAGGTAAAGTGAGGGTTGCGACAACGAAATTAATGACGCCTATGCATGTGGCAGTGAGTAATCGCTCTTCTTTCTCTAACCTCCCCCAAAACAGGCTCGAAGAGAAGGCGGAACACTTCGAGAGCGCACTTGCAATCGTGCAGAGGGGTTTGCAGGAGATCCCGCGTTACGGCCCGCTGTGGTTTGGCGCTTTCCGACTGAGCGAGAAGCTGGGTGAGAAGTTTGTTTTCCCTCCTAGTGCGACAGGTCGCGTCTTGTGTTGTTTCTGCTGCTGCTGCTGCTGCTGCTGCTGCTGCTGCTGTTGGATTCGCCATTCGCCCGTCGTCGTTGTCGTGGCTCACGGAGTACACTTTTCCGTAAACCGTGGCCGCCCGTACGCTGCTGTGTTTTCGTTCCGCTTTCGCGCGCTCGCCCCACACACACGCAACAGACATGCGTGACGCGAAGAAGGCTTTGGTCGAGGGGAAGTCGCCCTTCGAGGCCTACCAACAGAGGGCGACGTCCGACGCTTCCAGGCGAGGGCAGGTCGGTAGCGGTAGCGGCGGCGGCGGCGGCGGCGGCGGCGGCGGCGGCCAGATGGTGGTCTGCAGCCGCGCGAAGGAGACCGTCGAGAAGGCCAAGGACTGCATCAGCAAGGAGCTCGTGTGGAAGGTGGGAGCAAGCAAGCGCCGCGGTCCGTCGCATGTTGTTGTTGCTGGTGCTGCTGGTGCTGCTGGTGCTGCTGTCGTCATCATGGAAGCACGTTTCGTGCGTCTGGTCGTGCTCGATTTTGGTACCGGTCCTCGAGATCGAGTGTCGAAAACAATTTGGGATCCATCCGTGCCACCGGCTTCACGGATCCGATTGGTTGATTTTCCTTCCTTCGTTTTGGTGTATACAACTTTTCACAGGTGCATTTCGAAGCAGCTCAGATCGAGGAGCGGCTGGCCAGCGTGTGCGCCAAGGAGATCGCAACCAGGTCCTTACAAGCAGCAGCAGCAGCAGCGGCAGCAGGAGCTAAGCGAGCCCCACCCGCTGCTGCCAATGCTGCTACTGGTGGTGGTGCTACAGCCGCCGCTCCCCCCGCCGCGGCGAAGAGTAGCGGCCCCGCCAACGTGCCGTTGACGCCAATGACGCCCCGAGAGCTGCGCGAGAAGCTTCGGCAACCCTCGTCGCCCTCACCCGCGGCGGGGCGCGTCGATCTACCCGCGACGTCTTCGGCCGCCGCTACCGCTGACCCCGCCGCTGTGCCAGTAGCAGCAGCAGCAGCAGCCGCTACCGGCGGCGGGGGGGGGGTTGGGGTTGGTGAAGCGGAGACGAGCATCGACCTAGTACGCTCGGAAGCGCTGCCGTCCTCGTCAGCAGGGCAAGTGGCCGCGGCAGCAGCAGCAGCAGCAGCAGCTGGGTCGAAGGGCTTGGGAGACAGCGGTGCGGAGGCGGGAGGAGTGGCGGTTGCGGATGTCGATGGTGGCGGTGGTGGCGGTGGCGGTGGCGGTGGCATTGTGAGCGAGGCGCAGGCGAGGAACTCGCTGCTGGGGCCCTGCCGGTCCGCTTACGCTCACGCGGTGCTCACGTGCCCGCACAACTTGCGCTGGAAGGTGAAGACTGCTGTCTCTCTTTCTTTCTCTCTCTCTTTCTCTCTCTCTCTCTCTCCCTCTCTCTCTCTCTCTTTCTCTTTCGGGCGTTTTTACTAGGTCTTTCCTTCGGTCTGTGTTCTTCTCTTTCCTGAGAAGACGAAAGTACAAGTCGGGTGGGAGGTTTCTCTTTTTCGTACAGGGCGGGGGTTTCATGCGTGTGTGTATATGTTTGTGGTTGTATATTTTGGCTTCGACTACGTTAGCTACTCAATTGGCTGAACAGTGCGTTACACCAGTCTTCGTAGCAGCAGGACGAACAACGCGAATACGGTTTCTCGTCGGCCGGCGGGCTCTCCCTTCAGGGTGTGTATTTCTTGATATGTCACCATCGACCGCGCAACAGGCTGACCAATCAATATGCATCAGTCCTACATGAATTAGTATGTATTTTGCACCCTGTGTTCTTGGCTATTATTTCATTCACTTCACTCCCCTTGACATGCTGGTGTTTGTTTGTTTGCAGGTGTGGTTGGCGGGGGCGAGGATGGAGCTGGCAGCCGGGAACTGCCTCCACGCGCAGCGCCTTCTCAACCGAGCTTTCCAGGCAAGTACACGCGCACCAACCCCCCGAAAGGGCTATACAGGATGGCCGCCGGAAGGAGGAGTGAGACTGCGTCTGTGGGAAGCATTCGGCTCTGGGACAACCGAGACGTGACTCCTCGCCCGAATAGCTGTTGCAGAACACGCCGCTCCTCGTGATATATTGTCGTCCGTCGGACTCCCTGGTTGTGCATGTGCGTTTCAGTTGATATTAGCATCGACCGCGCTAACCGGCTGACCAATGAAAATACGCCAGTCTCAGTGCGGTTGGAAACAACATACAATGCATGTGTGTTTTGTGTAGGAAATATAGATACAATCACAGAAAGACTATTCGTTCGACATAACGCCACAGTCGAAGTTTTTTTGGTGCTGTGGTGAGAGGGCGAAGTGTTTTTGTTGTCGAGCGGCCTGTTTTTTGGTGCCGCTTGCCACATGGCGACCCTTTGTGTATCGTTTGTTTTGCAGCGTGCTAGATACCATTGCGGCTGCGCTTGTTGTGTCTTTCATGCGAGGGCGTAGTTTTTCTTTACAGGGTAGATCCCTTCCTGTTTTTTTTCTGTGCAACAGAACATTTTTTACTGTTGTGTTGGCCACCGTCGAAAAAACAACAACAAGGACACCGACAACGACAACGACAACAACCCATGTTATTTTTTTCTACGCCCGATATGTACTCCCCAAACCTGAAAACCTGAAAATCCCTAAACAATTAGTTTAAATAAACACCCCCATATATATAGTACTCCTATGAATAGGACGAAAAACACAAAAAACAATGTCTATAGCCTTGTTTGCTCTTTTTTACTGATGTGTTGGCCACAGTCGAAAAAATAAAAACAACAACAACAGCCACAACGACAACGACAACGACAACAACTCATGTTCTTATTTTCTACGCCCGATATTACTCTTGTCGTGCTTGTCGTCCGTCACCTGCCCCGAGCAGGAGGTCCCCGAGAAGAGCAAGAGCCACGTGTTCCTCGAGTGCGCCCGGTTGGAGGAGTTCACGGGTAACCTGGAGTGCGCCCGCCAGATTCTGGAGAGAGCCAGGGTGGAGACGAAGAGCGAGTGGAAGGCAAGTTGTTGTCTGTTGTCGTTAGTAGTAGTAGTAGAAGTAGTAGTTTTTGTTGTTGTTGTTGTTGTTGTTGTTGTTGTTGTTGTCATTTACCTTCTAGGTACCGCGGCGACGGGACTCGCGCCGTGCTGCTGCTGCTGCTGGTGCTGTCGCAGAGCTACGTCGGAGTGGCGATGAACGGGGTTCGCTGGCGTGTTTCGGCAAGCACCCGACCCCCGCGGGCGCGATCGTGTGGTCGATCATTTTTTATCGTGATACAGCAGTGCACGACAGGAGTTTTTGTGGTGTGATGGTGTCATTGACGATGATGACACTGACGATACTGCTGCTGATTTGTTGTTGTTGTTGCTGTTGGTGACAGGTGTTCCTCGAGAGCGTCCTGCTGGAGATCCGCGCCAACGACTGGCAGCGAGCGGCGACAGAGGCTCAGGAGGCGCTCAAGGTGCACTCCGGGGCCGGGAGGCTGTGGGCCGTCCTGGTGCAGCTCAAGCAGAGGGACAGCGACCAGGCTCAGCAGGCCTCTCTCAAGCAGGTAGGAAAATCAACACACAGACACGGACACGCAAACGCACACGCACACCCACTCGTCCCAATTTTTTGTACGCGCGAGCGTGCATGCATTCCATACTTTTGGTCGTCGTGGTCGTCGTGGTCGCCGTTGCCGTTGCCGTTGCCGTTGCTGATGTTGTCATACGGGGCCGCCGCCATTTTTGGCCCCTCATTCCTACAAACGAAAGCCGGTACACACACTGCTGTTAAAATGAATCGGATTCCATCCATCCATCCACACGCTGTTAAAGCCTCGTGGTCTCCAGGCACTTCCGCTACTTTTGCGGGGGTGGCCTTACAAATGTGCTATACCCAACCTAGTTGCCCTCATTCGCACTTGCGGTGCCCCCCCCCCCCCCCCCACCCCCCCCAAAAAATATAAAAAACAA